CCCGCACCCCACCCACCTGCGCTGGGGCCTGGCCTGCACCCCGCCCGCACCCCACCGGCCTGCAGACTTGCCCTTCTTCCCTTCCATTGCTTCCCACTTCCTCCTCTGCCCCCATCTCTTTCCCTCCCAACTGCACCCCCCGGGGCATCCCTGAGCCTCTCCCATTAGCCTTTCTGGTCTCTGCCCCTGTGGCTTGCTCCCAGACCCAGCTATTTCACAGGGCTCTTGGGCTGGGAACTCCCTTGTGCCTTAGAAAGAAAATGCTACATACCATCCCGTCCGGGAACGGCACCCCGCAGCGTCTCTCCCACTCCTGGGTTCCCTGGGAAAGAAGGAGAGAATGGGGCATCAATCTGCTCCCTGGAGCCAGTGGTCTCTTCTGCCTTCAGCCTGGCAGAGTCAGCTCACCCTGCCACACCCTTCTCCTGTGCCAGTGGTGTTACCTGGCACTGGGAAGCCACTTTACTTCTGAGCCAGCTGGGGCCAGCCCAGGCCAGGCCAGCCCTGGAGAGCAACACCCCCAACTATCCAGCACAGGCAAGAGTCCATCCACAGCCCCGCTCCTCTCTGCCCCCCACAGCCACAGGCCTCAGCCCTGCTCTGCTGGGATCCACCACCAGGGGCGCTCTACTTGGACTTCAAGCTCTTGGGGGTGGGGCCACCTTTCAGTGTTATGTTTAGACAGCAAGTGGCACTGGGGGTTCTGCTCAACGACCGGAGTGCCAACCTGGGCACTGCTGCAATACAAACAATGCAAATAGGGGTCAGAGGGAAGAACATGGGTTTCCTTAGACCGGCGCCGTGGGGAGCAAAGGGCAATCGGGTCTCTGCCGTTGTTTTCTTTCCTCTGATAATGGCGAGAACATCGCTCAGGCAGTGGGACCCCCAGGACTTAGAGACTGATACGCAGCTACAAAGGGCATCGCTCTGCCCAGTGCTGAATTGCAGCCACCTCTGGGGCAGAGTGCAGCAGCTGTTCAGGCCGTGGTGACCGCAGGCAATGAAGAATACCTTGTCCAGCTGAGTTTAGGGAGGCAGAATGGGACTGGCCATGTTGGGACATGGCTGGAACACAGGCATTGGGGAAAGCGGCCTCGAATCGTTCAGGACTCCAACTGGACAGTGTGGGTTGTATGGCTCATGGGAAAGACAGCGCCTCCAGCCTCATGCTAGGGAGTCACACCTGTACTGATTCCACCTACAGTGCTGTCTGCAGTGCCGGCGTAGGTGGCCTTTGGAGGTCTCCTCTCCAAGCACTTTGCTTTACAAGGAGCAGATGATTTATCCAGTTCCCAGCCACCAGGGCCTTGTGAACGTCCCCTCTCCTTCTAAAGGGGGCCCTGATCCCCACCAGGGAATAACCATCCTCTCGTCCCCCTACACAGGGCTCTGCTAACCCATTTGCTGCATGCTTTGGTTTCATTTCGCCCTTGTGTCTCCCCAGCTCTCTGGTTGCCCTCCCTGTGCTTGGACTGTCCTTGGTCTTCAGGGGAGAGAGACACGGAAAGCAGGAGCCACACCCAGAGATATGGTTGGCATCCGCCCTGCTCCTTGATCCCACACGAGCGCCTCTCTCCCAGCCAGTCCGGGCCCTGTGTGGCAGGAGGCAGGGAAGCCATCCGACCTGCCCCATCCCTTCAGTCTCAGGGGCACGTTGGGTAGGTCCTGGTGGCTCATTTAGCTGGGATCTGCTTGTTGTTAGAATCCCAGCCAGACTGTGACGATGGCGACCAGGGGAAATTCCTCTAGTCATTCAGTTGGTCTCTGAAGGTGCCTACTGGGGAAGCAGGAGCCCCAGGTGCCAGGAGCCCAACAGATTTACTGCCCGGTTCTAAAGCCCAGTTGCCAGCTGATCTCGGGACAATATTCACTGGGGCTCTAAGGGCCTGTTGCATGCAGTAGCCCTGTGGGGTTGTGGGCTCTCTCCCTCTGCCATTTCACCTGCACGCCTGGGGCGAGACGGAGCAGCAGGCCTAAGCCCCTCTGCTCTTGCCTAGAACTGACCACACCCAGTCACCTAGGGCTGGTCTAACTCAGGGCACGGCAGCTGGCCACACTCTCCCGAGCCAGGTGATGGGTCCTGTCCTCCAAGTGGAATCCTGGCCCTCACCACCGCAGCACTGCAATGGCAAGGCAGTCTGCACCCGCCGGGGGTGACGGAGCGACTCCCAGACCAGCTCCAGCCCAGGGCTCATTAACAGCACAGCCCCAGCGGAGCTAATGGGACCTTTCCAGTGACTGTCTGGCAGCTGGAGTGGGCACTACCTGGGCCGCCCCCTTCTCCCCCTGCCTCATTAACAGAGCAGCCCAAGAGCCCGTCCTAGCCTGGCTACCATTTAGTTCCCTGGGGGGAAGGGTGGGGTGCTCGAGAAGGGAATCGGGCCACCCAGCTATACATTTATCACCCCACCCTCCTGCTGCCGTGCCCCTAAAGCACAAACACGTGGCCTGTCCGAGCAGCGGAGGCCTGATAAATCTTCCCTCTGCACGGAGCTGGAGCCAAAGCCAGATCAGCCTGGTCCTCAGCTGCATTCAATTTAACTCCCGTGCAGTCCCTGCCCAGTGGGGGCTGGGACATGGCAGAGGCTCCACTCTGAGCCCCTGCCTTTGGGCTGGAGTGGGACAGCAAGCCTTACCCTTGTCCTCCAAAGACCCATGTCCCCACGCCAGTGAGGGGGGAGGCAGTTCTCCTCTGGGTCAGACAGACAGGCTGCTGGAGATAGCCCCGCACATCGGGAGTGGATTTGATTCTCCCTTGTTGCTACATTTTTCTGCATGTTCATATGACAGACTGCAGGTACCTGGGGCAAGGGCTGTCATAGAATCATGAAGATTAGGGTTGGAAGAAACCTCAGGCGGTCATCTAGTCCAACCCCCTGCTCAAAGCAGGGCCAACACCAACATCCCAGCCAGGGCTTTGTCAAGCCGGGCCTTAAAAACCTCTATGGATGGAGATTCCACTACCTCCCTAGGTAACCCATTCCAGTGCTTCACCACCCTCCTAGTGAAATAGTGTTTCCTAATATCCAACCTAGACCTCCCCCACTGCAACTTGAGACCATTACTCCTTGTTCTGTCATCTGGTACCACTGAGAACAGCCGAGCTCCATCCGCAATGGAACCCCCGTTCAGGTAATGAAGGCTGCTGTCAAATCCCCCTCACTCTTCTCTTCTGCAGACTAAATAAGCCGTTCCCTCAGCCTCTCCTCGTAAGTCAGTGGTTCTCACCAGGGGTCCGGGGCTCCCTGGGGGGTCGCAAGCAGGTTTCAGGGGGTCCTCCAAGCAGGGCCAGTGTTAGACTCACTGGGGCTCAGGGTAGAAAGCCAAAGCCCCACTGCTTAGGTGTGAAGTCTGGGGCCTTGAACCCTGCCATCTGGGGCTAAAGCCAAAGCCTGAGCAATGTAGCTTTGCAGGGCCCCCAGTGGTGTGAGGCCCCAGGGAATTGCCCTGCATGCTACCCCCTAACATCGGCCCTGGCTTTTATATGCAGAAAATCAGTTCTTGTGGCACAAGGGGGCCATGGAGTTTTTATAGCTTCTTGGGGGGCCTCAGAAAGAAAAAGGTTGAGAATCTCTGTCCTGAGTCACGTTCCCCAGCCCCCTGTCTCTTCATCACATGTGCACACAGCACCTGGCACAATGGGATTCCTGACCTCTGACGCTTCTGGAAGTGCAAATAAGAATTGCTTCTAATAGTTACTTTGCTTTTGCCTCTAGCAACTTTTTAACTGCAGAATACCTCTGTAACTGCAGCGCTGCTGAATTGCTGCCACCTCTGGGGTGGAACACAGCAGCTGTTTAATAGCGCACTGCAACGGCCAAGAAGAATCCCATGTGCAACTGAAACCCAAGGGAGTGTTTGGGAGGTGGAATGTGTGGACCTAAGCTGGGATTGGGGCAGAGCTTTGGGGTGATGACGGAGCTTTGCAGCTGAAGAGTCTGGAGGCTCAGGAGAGATTTTAAGCCTTAAGAAAGTTACAAGTAAAAGGACAACAGGGCAGAGTGGAGGAACCCAGGGAAAGGTGAGTGGGGATATCAGCCAAGCTGGATTCACCCATCACTGGGCCCTAGGCAAACACTCTTCTCCCAGCCTTGTGGGACAGGACCTGCCACTGTGGGGTGAGTGCAAGATGGGTGCACTCTCCAACCCCCTCACCCTCCAGTGTCCCCTCTGTATCAGCCCGAGATTAGGGTGGCAGCTGCCATGGTGGAGGGTGAAGCTGCCCCCTTGGCACAGCGAGGAGGAAAAGCAGAGGAGGAGGACGCTGGCCTAGGATTTTGAGCCCTATGTGTTAATGCAGCCCTGGACATCAGGCTGAGATTTGGGGCAGTGGAGACCCTCTGCCATCCCACTCGAGCCAGGGCACAGAACTTCCTGCAGCGTCAAGGGCCCATCCTGCTATCCTCACTCAGACCAAACTGGGAGCTTTGCTTGAGTGCATTGGGCAGGACTGGGCTCTGAACTGATGGAAAGGCCGAGCCCCCATGCTTAGTGCCAACGGACTCCTGCTTGTTCCATCTCCAGGGCCAGGCATGGAGGGGACTTGGGGCATGTGGATTTCTGCAGGGGCAGGAAGGATCTTGATCTAGGCAGGAAACACACATCCGGCTCTCAGGATGGCTTCCTGCCTGCAGCCTCCAGCCTCCGGCTGCCTCAGCTCCTCCCTAGCAGCCCCTGCTCTCACTTACCTTTCACACCTTCATCCCCAGGGCTCCCGTGAGTGGATGGAGACCCCCAGAGCTGGTAGGAATCCGAGGGGGCAGCCCCCTTGGTTACGAGGTGTCTGTTGGGTCCTGGGGAGGTTGCAGGCTCTGCCGCTGACAGCAATGCCACCTACGAGCAAGAGAGAGTTCCCAGCAGTGCGCCCGGACATACTGCGCTAGCCAGACTTGGGGCCTATCTCCTCTCTCCACTACGGTTCTGCACTTACAGCTGTCACCCACAGCCACTCAGCATGCCCTTCCGAGGTTGGTGAGCCTGCTGCAGCATTGGCTCTCAGCAGAACCTTTCAGCAGAGGCTCATGGTTTACGATCCAGAAGTCACAGATTCAATCTCCCCTGATGTCCCACCCAAGGGTCTGGGGTTGCACTTCTATGGAGGAAGCTCGGCATTGTCCTGGACATTCAGAGCTTTGGGGTTGAGGGGAGGAACTTGAAGCTTTGCTGAACAGGGCCGCCCGGGGGGGGGGGGGGCCAAGTGGGGCAATTTGCCCCAGGCCCCACAGGGGCCCCCACAAGAATATAGTATTCTATGGTATTGCAACTTTTTTTTAATGGAAGGGGCCCCCAAAATTGCTTTGCCCCAGAGCCCCTGAATCCTCTGGGTGGCCCTGTTGCTGAATGCACGGAATGGGGCTTGAGGACCTTGGTGTTCTGACTTGGTAGCCCTTGTCTCTGCACAAACTTGCATCAGCTGAATTAAACTGGTTCAGTTAGCTCTTGTGTGGACACCCCCTAGTTCAGTTTAAAAGCAGCTTATGTTGATTTAGCTTAAACCACTTCCTAAGGCCTTGTCTACACTGGAAATGTGAACCAGTAAAAGTTCTGTTGGCTTAATGCCACCAACTGTTCAGCAGGATGTGCTCGCACTCAGCTGTTCGGGGTGGTGCTTCATGCTGATTTGGCAAAAGCACGTTGCATCCTGGCATCCTCCAAGCCACCTTCAGGCACGCTGCCTTGTAGAAAACTGTTGCTGTGTATTGTGAGATACCCAGGTACCTCTCAGGGAACTGTGGGCATTAGGGGTCAAAGCCCACCATTCCCTCTGTTCTATCCCATGACTACGGCCCTACCATATTCACGATCCATTTTGGTCAATTTCATGGTTATAGGATCTTAGAAATAATAAATGTTATGATTTCAGCTATTTGAATCTGAAATTTCATGGTGTAATTGTAGGGGTCCTGACCCAAAAAGGAGCTGGGGGGGTTTCGTAAGGTTATTGTAGGGGGGGTACTGGTACCCTTATTGCTGATGGCGGTGACGCTGCCTTCAGAGCTCAGCTGGGCAACTGGAGAGCGGCGGCTGCTGGCCGGCAGCCCAGCTCTGAAGGCAGTGCCACCGCCAGCAGTGGCGCAGAAGTAAGGCTGGCATGGTATGGTATTGCCACCCTTACTTCTGCGCTGCTGCCTGCAGAGCTGGGCCCTCAGTCAGCAGCTGCCACTCTGGGCGCCCAGCCCTGAAGACAGTACAGAAGTAAGGGTGGCAATACCACGATTCCCCACTAAAATAACCTTGCGCCCCGCCCCCCCCCCCGCAACTCCCTTTTGGGTCAGGACCCCCAGTTTGAGAAACGCTGGTCTCCCCCGTGAAATCGGTAGAGTATAGGGTAAAAGCACACAAAAGACCAGATTTCACAGTCCGCGACGCATTTTTCATGGCCATGAATTTGGAAGGGCCCTACCCATAACTGCCTGCTCTGGTCCCATTCGTGAGCTTGTCCCAGCACCTGTGGACAGGGTCTGGGGGACACAGCACCGTTCTCCATTGTACGGACAGGGCATAATGGTCCTGTTGCCTCTGCAAGGCTGCAATGCTCAGACACACCTAGCTGGACAGTGAATGCATGGGCTGTGCTGCTGAGTTATTCATGGAACAACTGCACTCGAGAAGCAGGGTTAACCCAGGTCAGAGTGTCCACAACAACCTCCTGCACCTTACATCCCTGCTACTCTGCATGGAGACAAGTCCCTGGTGTGCAAAGGGTCGTATGGAAAACCTGGGCTGGGTTCTTGGGAACAGTTTCTATTTCCTTGTTTCATAGATTCATAGATTCTAGGACTGGAAGGGACCTCGAGAGGTCATCGAGTCCAGTCCCCTGCCCGCATGGCAGGACCAAATACTGTCTAGACCACCCCTGATAGACATTTATCTAACCTACTCTTAAATATCTCCAGAGATGGAGATTCCACAACCTCCCTAGGCAGTTTATTTCAGTGTTTAACCACCCTGACAGTTAGGAGCTTTTTCCTAATGTCCAACCTAAACCTCCCTTGCTTCTTGTTCTATCCTTAGAGACTAAGATGAACAAGTTTACTCACTCCTCCTTATGACACTGTTTTAGATACCTGAAAACTGCTATCATGTTCCCTCTCAGTCTTCTCTTTTCCAAACTAAACAAACCCAATTCTTTCAGCCTTCCTTCATAGGTCATGCTCTCTAGACCTTTCATCATTCTTGTTGCTCTTCTCTGGACCCTCTCCAATTTCTCCACATCTTTCTTGAAATGCGGTGCCCAGAACTGAACACAATACTCCAGTTGAGGTCTAACCAGCGCAGAGTAGAGCGGAAGAATGACTTCTCGTGTCTTGCTCACAACACACCTGTTAATGCATCCCAGAAACATGTTTGCTTTTTTTGCAACAGCATCACACTGTTGACTCATATTTAGCTTGTGGTCCACTATAACTCCTAGATTCCTTTCTGCTGTACTCCTTCCTAGACAGTCTCTTCCCATTCTGTATGTGTGAAACTGATTGTTCCTTCCTTGTGCCAAAGTCCTGGTCAGAGCCATGGGGACTCTTTCTAGGACATAGTGACTTGGGCCTTTAGGCGGTAGGTGCCCAACTTCCATGGCCTGGCGCACCTGCAGCACTAATCTCTGGGAGAGCCTGGAGGGGGAGACCCTGGGTTGCCTGTGAGTCCCTGGGGCTATTTCTGACACCAGGTCTAAAGCAGAGCAAAGGTTAAAGCACACAGAGGGTTAACCTGGTAGCCCAAACCCCTAATCATAGAATCATAGAATCTCAGGGTTGGAAGGGACCTCAGGAGTTCCTCTAGTCCAACCCCCTGCTCAAAGCAGGACCAACCCCAACTAAATCATCCCAGCCAGGGCTTTGTCAAGCCGGGCCTTAAAAACCTCTAAGGAAGGAGATTCCACCACCTCCCTAGGTAACCCATTCCAGTGCTTCGCCACCCTTCTAGTGAAATAGTGTTTCCTAATATCCAACCTAGACCTCCCCCACTGCAACTTGAGACCATTGCTCCTTGTTCTGTCATCTGGTACCACTGAGAACAGCCGAGCTCCATCCTCTTTGGAACCCCCTTTCAGGTAGTTGAAAGCAGCTATCAAATCCCCCCTCATTCTTCTCTTCTGCAGACTAAATAAGCCCAGTTCCTTCAGCCTCTCCTCATAAGTCATGTGCTCCAGCCCCCTAATCATTTCTGTTGCCCTCCACTGGACTCTTTCCAATTTTTCAACATCCTTCTTGGGCCCAAAACTGGACACAGTACTCCAGATGAAGCCTCACCAATGTCGAATAGAGGGGAATGATCACGTCCCTCGATCTGCAGGCAATGGCCCTACTTATACAGCGCAATATGCCGTTAGCCTTCTTGGCAACAAGGGCACACTGTTGACTCATATCCAGCTTCTCGTCCACTGTAACCCCTAGGTCCTTTTCTGCAGAACTGCTGCCTAGTCACTCAGTTCCTAGTCTGTAGCATGCATGGGATTCTTCCGTCCTTGTTGAACCTCATCAGATTTCTTTTGGCCCAATCCTCTAATTTGTCTAGGTCCCTCTGTATCTATCCCTACCCTACAGCGTATCTACCACTCCTCCCAGTTTAGTGTCATCTGCAAACTTGCTGAGGGTTCAATCCACACCATCCTCCAGATCATTAATACACTGGCCTCCCTATGACATTGAGCCCTGATGGGTGATAGGATCACAACAGAACCTCACCAGCACATTCCTCAGGGCCACAAGCCAACTAGTCTTAGTGACAGTTCTGGAGCCCTCAGACAGTCCATCCCACGGAATGTCATCTCCTAGGGAACACACCCTATGGCCTGGTGTCACCCCAACTGGAGACCATTCATATCATCAGGCACCAGATCCATTCTCATCCCCTCCATTGCCAGGCCAGTCCCCTACAGTCTGGTCTGCAGGGCCGGTTAGTTGTGTGTGTCTGAGGTGCTGGGGCTTCACAGCATTGGCT